ATATAAGATAACAAGTGGCGCGGAATTCATTTATCCATTTGGCTAAATAGCGTAGTTTGGTACTTCAACTGATGTCAGTTCGTGATCAAAACCCTAAATCCAATCCCTAACACTACACATCAACTGTACATCATAATTCTAATTCCTCATGCTGCGTTATAACCCTCATTTAGTCCTAGTTAGTAGGTGGATATTCTTAAGGTCAAAGATCGTTCATAAATTATAGTCTCACTAGCAAATCTTTTAAACTAAATCTCTAAAATTCAGGTAGCCAATAACTTCACTCGTATAATATATATATATATATATATATATATATATATATATATATATATATATATATATAAAGAATACACTACTAATTGATGATGATTTGTAAGACATAACGCGTTAAACATTTTTTATAACTTGAAGATAGAATAAAAACTCTATCCATTCATTCACTAAGCTACTTAAAATCTATTATTATGATTAAACTTAATATACAATTTATATTGCAATTAAATATATTTAAGGTCAATTCAATTCAAACCGTCGGAGGCTGTAAATAAACATATAATGGTCGAGCAGGGTAAATAATAAGTTTGAATGAAATTTACTTAATGTTGCTTAATGTTCAATACGTGATGGTGACTAATTTATAACTTGATAACGTTATAAACTCTCATTTGTAACTATCAACTTTATCACATTTTTCTGTACATAAGGATAATGAAAAAAATATGTGAACATTAACACAACTATGTTCAGAAACCATCCATGTCACCGTATTCACTAAGCTGAAATGTGAACTCAATAGATAGGTCCATTTGTTATAAACTTCTTTTACTTGTCTAAAACTAATTTACTTAACCCTCAGCAGCTACTTAAAAGTAAACTGATAAAACTTAAAGGTACATTTTCTTATCTTCAACATTAAATAGATAGAAATTAATAAATGTTGTATTGTTTGTTTGTTTGTTTTTTAACCAACAAGATCTTATTGGATAATATGGGTCATATGAGCATAATAATAATAATCCTAATAATGTCAGCAAATAAACTTCAGAATGATAAAGTTACCATGATAACATAAGAACAATAATTCATTGTTATTTTATATATTTTCCTATTTTACATCAACAAAATGAAATCAAATAACAGGAAATAAATTATGAATATTTAACAAAAGAAATTGAATGAATAAAGAAACTTACGTACTGCTTTATGAAAAGCATGAAAAACACAAGTGATTTTTTTCTTACAAAATAAAACTTATCCAAAGGTTTATCGAAAGAGAATGGACTTAAGTACTGATACTTTCTTTAATTACAGTCATTCAGTCAGTTACAATGTGGGACCAGGCACATACATACATCGATCCAAGTTGTTACATCTCATTAGTACAGCAAGACGAAAACCGGATTCATAGACTGCAGTTAACTCAATGGTGTAATATGTAAAAGAAAGATTTTATGTAAGGATAAATGCAATTTCATGAAGAATCATTTAATCAAACATTTAAGTTATTTGTATTCTAACTGTTCATTTATTGTATTAAACCTACCTGTTTCATATCTATTTTAACTGTATAATTATGAATGTTAATTGTATACATCTACGTGTTTTTATGGAAGTCTTATAAGTTATTGTGATGTTAGATACTGGGAAACGTGATAGGAAAACACCTCAATTCTGAGCATATTCTCCTTGTAGTATATTCTATGAAGAAACAAGGCTAGATTATGTTGAATTTCATGCATTTAATATAACAAACATAAAAACAAAATACTTGAAGCAGATGAACTGGTAGGAAGTTTTCACAACTGAACTCGAGTAGTACATATAAAATGTTAGAAGAAAATCTATCAGATATATTTTTAAATAAGTACAGTTTGAATGTATGTTAAGGAGAAATTTGCTGAAATATTATATATTTAATACTGAGAATTGTTTACTGTGACGAAATACATAGTACTTTAACTCATAGTAATGCATTTATATGTCAAAATATCTAAAACGAGACCAGATCATTACTATGAGGTTTCTACAATTTTCTCCATGGATCAACTCATTCACCAGGTACAGATTCATGTATTTTGTTTCGAACTACAAGTTGGAGGACCAAGTGCGCTGCGCGGCCGCCGAGGCTGAAGCAGATATGGTAAGGTTTAAAACTGTGATTTAATAACCATGACCACTCAGATACTGCTACACTTCGTTTTTTTACAAATTACACATGTACAGATTCCATCACATGATAAAACTGACACATGAAGTAATGTAACTGAATTATACTATGGTTTACTTGTTAAGCTAGAAATAAACTCATAATGAAATAGAAGCATTGCTGAAAAACGAACTGACAGTGATTAATGTATTATTAGTTATTTTTAAAAAAAAAACGGGATAAACTGTATTAAAGTGCAAATGTGTTTGAAAATAATAATAATTATATTATAAAATGTGAATGGATATTCTATGGAATATGAAAAGTCGTAACAGAGTATTTATTCAAAATAAAAATGTTCATCAGTATGGATCTATTAAACATCTTTCTGATTCATGTTAAAGTAAAATATTTAATGTATTATACGTAAACTATTGAGTAGTATAAAAGCGATCAACTTATAACCCAGTTGATATACTAAATAGTGATGCAAAAGTCAGTGTTGTGTCGTATTTATTCGTGGATTATCTTACCATGAAAATTAAGTTACTTAAATTATTAGCTATGACTAATGTAGGTTATAGGTTGGTGTATTACAAAGTAATTGGAAGAGGAGGCTCACCTTCACTAAGAATAGGATACCATAATGCTAACTGATCACAACGAATAATTTTCAAATGAAGTTGACACTTTATGATCTAAGAATACAAGTTTTATATCGAAGAGGCTCCTAAAAACCCATGTAATGATCTGATGCATTTGTAGGGGCTGGTACTATGTCTGCCCACATAGCTTATTCTAACCTTTGAATAGGTTAATCTATTCATTCTTCTCGAGCCACATATTTATCCCGTCACTTATTCGCCTATCAACCTTGACTGTTTTTATGTAAGCGTATATGTGTGCATTATTTTATCTGACTCATCATGTATGTAATTTACTTTTGTTCGACTATAAATATCAATTCAGGCTTGGCTAAATTGAATTGACTAACTCACCTTCTCCATCGACCGTCATTTTATTTTGCTTCGCTTTCTGATCAACTATTGTACGAAATATACGTATTTAAAATCCATTCTCGTTTTTGACCTATTTAATTGCGTTAGTCACCAAAGCAATTTAAGTTGATGATTATATACGAGAGTAGCCAGGATGTATCTTTCGACAGCAACCGTTTGATAAGGATCATTTGTCTGATCTAACTGGTGTCAGATATAAGGCCACTAGACATTTATTCATAATATTATTGTCAATGAAACAAATGAAGCAACTGATTTTATTAGTTTTGAAATTAAAAATGAAATGTCACCGCAATATAATTTGTGTTGCAAATCTTTGAGATCAAAAACAAATTATTTCACTTATTACATATAACCCAGTGAAATACAAAGATGGTTTAGATACTAAAGGCATCAACTGTCAATAAATAAATTATTATTATGAATAAACTAATAAGGTAACTAATAATTAACCTAATAATGATTCATTAAAACGCAATCCATTTTTATTATACGCTTGATTCTTATTAGAAGTGTATTCGAAGAATATGTTAATAATTATTTATCTTAATTATACGGTACAATGATACAACACAAGTAATAAAGTTCTGGTTAATATTGAACTCAAGAAAGAAAATAATAGTGTCAATATCAAAATCATTATTGCACACTAACATTACAATGATTAGTAATGAAATACTTACCTGTCTAAAGACATTTCTAAGTGATTTCATATTTTATTCATCGTAGAATGAGAGGTTATAATGATTGTCGTATTTTCGAAGCTGTTCATCATGGTTAGTTCATTTTTCTTTCCTGTAAATGGCGTTCTTCAATTATCTTATCATCGCTTCCGCTTAAACTGACGTAAAAAAAGTTTTATGCTTGGAAAACATAACTTTGTCAGTATTTTTACAGACAATGCCGATCTAATCAAATAGTTTTTTAAATGCCAATATTTTGGATTTCAAGTTCAAAATATAGTTATTTGACACGGCAATATAGCATAGAGATCGAATGTCGATGCTTTTAAAAATGACAGTTTTATTAAACGAAGTACTGACACAATGAATTAATTAATTGGGAGAGAATGTTAAGTGGCTAAACATACCTGAATTTCAAACCGATTGAAAAGATCGTAACAAGGCTCATGAGTTGATTTCTTAACAAAGAGAAAAAGCGTTGAAAAGGATAAACGGAGAACCTATTCGTAATATTTTGAATAACGCTCCATCATTTTACCTTGAGGTTTCGTTTAACAATTTGTAATACATCATGGTTGATTCAATGTGATCTGCTGGCAAGTACAATACGATATATCTGTAATTAGCTTGGATGCGTAAACTAACTCATTAAGTGACTTTTTCTAATTCCAATCTACATGTACAATAAGTCTCCCCGTCACATTAATGAACTACACCATACATTTAATTCACCCACTTGTTTAGTAGCATTTAACTGAGCCTAGTCTTTTTTCAATGAATACTTCTTCAGCAAAAACTACATATCAATTAAATATCTCATATATAGTAAAAATAAGCTCAGTTTTACTTGAGTAAATGTCTTCAATCAGGTGGTTAAGCATATTCGTTTGCTTTTAGGAAAGTTTACATCGTGAACCAATACTATGCAATCGTTAAAATTCCAGAAGCACTGTAAATATTTCATAAACAGTACGACACCATTCACTTATCCAATCAATGTCCGGCAATCAAAATTCTCGAAATTTAAATGATATGAAATTAGTGGCTAAATGATATAATTCTAAGGAGATCGAGTTACAACCAAGCAATATGGAACAGATAAGTAATTGAAGTAACATCCCTATTTCTGAAAACCATCAACAACAATCATAATAATATATGTATATATTTTTATATTTACAATCTTTCTTTTAGGTCTCATATCAATAATAATAGTAAGAATGATATTAATAACCACAGTGAAAAATAACAATAGAGACAAACGAAAACAGAGAACAACAGTAATAATGGTTATATATATACTGAAGATTAATTTTTTAATTCCTAAAAAATAATATTGTCATTTTGAAGTGGAAAGACCAGATTTAGTGATCAAAATAACAGAAATATATAATACACCAATAAATAATCTACAATTAAATGTTATAACTCTTTTTCAATTCATATATCAACAAAACTTATAAAATTATATGACATTGTGTTGATCAATTCGTTCAGAAATCCCACCCCATCGTATACGAAATCGTTTATCACGCCAACGTACTTCACGAAAACAAGCCGCTGTTAAATGCAGTGGAAAAGCTAACAATTCAGAAAATAACCAAGCTACAAGATATTCTAATTTTGTGATACATATTGGAGTTGCCGGTGGATAAATTTGACGTAATAATATATAATCTAACAAAAACCATATAAGGGTATAACACATAAAATATACACCTGGATCAATAAAATTTGGAAAAATATAAGCAAATGTGAAAGCTCCCAATAAAGCATTTGGTAGGCATCTTGTGAATGGTTCAAATATAAAACTCAAAATCGCCATACTTAGTCTTAACTGTGACCAACGTAATATTCGTAAATAAAATTGATATAGACAAGGTGATGGTGAATTTTGCCAAGCTGGTTGATGAGATAAAGTTATTTTCCAACCTCGATTAGATATATACTTTGTTATGAAATAATCTTCTGCTAGATAACAGCCAAATTGTTTAAAACCACCGGAATCACTTAATGTTGACTTACGTAATAGACATGACATGCCAGTTACACAATTCACATTAAGAAATGATGCAGTTAAATAGACTTTTGCATGCCAACATGAAAAAAAAACTAACTGTACAACCCAGGTAAATGATGGCTGTTCACAAATGGTTGGAATATAATCTAAATCTATTGATGTTCTTGCTCTCAATGTTGTCTTATGAACTTGATTACAATTAATATGTTTGGAGCGTCCTTGAAAAGATGCAATGTTTAGGTCTCGTATAGATGATAAAATTCCATTATATGGCTTCATATAAGGCACTTGATGGATAAGACCAACTTTTGGATCCACTTCTAATGTTGATACCATATCCATTAATGCATCTGAACGCATCCATAAACCTGAATCTGATATTAATAGCAACGAATACTTAGAAGCTTCATAACCAGCTTGTAAATTATTAATCTTCGGGTTAATACCAAATAAATCTTTGGCTATGATAATGTGTGCATCAACATGAGGATATTGTTTAATTAAACGTTCAGCAAGCTCATAAGCTGGATCTTCTTTATCAGCTATACAAAACAGCAATTCAAATACAGGATAATCCATTTGGAAAAATGATAACAAATTAGTTTCTAAATTAGGATCTCTACCAGATAAAGGTTTGAGAATCGAAACACCGGGCCAATGCACTTCAAACTTCATATCAATCATTACGTTATTATTATTGTATATATTACCATTGTGATTATCTGTCGACAGTGGAATAAGTGTACTCTGAGAGGTAGTTATAGTATTAACGTCAGTATTTGTTGTTGATGTAATTGTAGCGTTATTATGCTTTGTTGTCGTTAGCTTGTTAACCTTACCTTTGCATTTATTACAAAATATACATTGTAAACAAAAGGTAATAAGTGAAACAATATATGATAATGGCCATTTACAAAATATTATAAACAATCGACGCATACATCGGCGATACAATGGATATTTATACATTTTCTGTAGATATATTGGATAAGGCACCTGATACAAATGTTTTTTACCATACAGTATAGCACATATGTGGAAGATAAACAAAAGGCAATTTGATGTAATACCAACAATACATAGTAAGCTGATTAAAATCTCCAAAATGAATGAATTCGAAGAGTAAAGATCAGCATAATATATATAACCATAATTTGGTAGTCCTGTTGTTAGATTTAATCGATGGAATTCATTGACAAAGTGGAAGGGATCCATTGGTAGTAATTTTTAAATAATAGTATGACGGTTATATGGAGAAAATGTTGACATTATTATTATTATTATTAATGGCTCACATTATACATGGTCAACTGTGGTACTGAGGCCGGTGGTAGTGTGCATTAACTGCAGCTGTTACTAGCTAGGTATAAAACGTTCTCGATCATATAATATTTCCAGCAGTAATACAGAAAACTTCATAAAATAGTTTGATTTAAAATTATCTAAAATAAAATGTTTAATATCGATTATAAATTAATAACAGAAAGTGAAGTTTTATCAGTGACTACAGAAAATATATAGCAACAGATTCAAATAAACAGCTGTGTGAATATACTATAAGTTAAATTTGTCATACTAATTAATACTATCTTGAACGAAGTATTCGGAGAGCTAACCTAATTTTTAAATCATTGAAATAAAATTACTGACCCAAACTTGCTGCATCAATAAACGAGAACTCCAAGTTTTAATTCACTGAACTGTACAAAGTAAACATCAATGGGAATAAAACAATCGTGTTTAGTTTCTAAACAAATATCTAATTAAATTATGTACTAAGCACAGGTTTACATAATCATTTTTGTCTGTGGTGTCTGTGACATTACTAGTATTTCATCATCCGAAAACAAGTCGCTAAATCTGGAATCAAACGCAAGACGGAGTGGTTGAAACGCGCTTTATTTTGCTTGTGACTTTAGGATTATTTCACTTCAGAAAACACAAAATTACAAGTAAAACATGACCACCTATAATATAAAGAAAAATTTTCAGTAAACGGAGATTCTTTTGAGTGACAAGCAACTTAATGTCACATGAAATTGCAGCTAAAAATTTAGATGGTAAATAACATTGACTACTTCTCTGGCAAGATATACAGTTATTCATCGCACTCAATCTCATAAGCAACCTCTTAAAATACTTGGTAATTTATTTCCCAACCAAAACAATGAAAAGTATTCTTTCTAAATAAAAACAGACAGATAAGTCATGAATTTCACTACAGTCTCAAACACTCAGTAAACATTAAACTTGTCATTCCTCCTCGTGAACCTGAATTAACGTTGACATTTTGAAAGAAGAATATCACGAAAAAGTTCCTGTTTCAAATCGAATGGCGTTCTAAGCAAATATTTTTATCAGTTTTCTCACTAAGCATTGGTATTACGTGTTAGCGTTTAGTAACAGTCTACTAGTCACGTTTGATCATATTTCTGTGAGTGGAACATGATTTTTAAGAGTTTTAAATAACTTCTTGATTTTTCAGGATAATGACCAATCACATGCCTGAATAAATGACAAATAAATTGTGGTCGTCGCAATAAAAACTTGATAAGAATCTGATTAAAAGTAATCTGTACACTTTAAGTCATGCATTCAAAAATTAATTAGCAAAATAAAACCACATACAAACATGACATACGTTTATCTCACAACATAAACAGATAAACAATCAGAAAGTATCAAGCTACGGAGATTTTCTACTATCTTGTGGTGTGATGTAGGCAAAGGAATATATTTACCAACATTTATTACCAAATGATTTAGATAATCAACTTCTTTGCTAACACATGCTACTAATGTTAATGTAGACTTCAAATAAGCATTTTCGTAAAAGATTCAAACAAAAATGCTAAATAATTGTTTACAAAATAAATAGTCTTCCTCTTGTTATTTTTAAGTAGCAAGTTTGCAAGCTAACGGAGACAGGTGATTAAAAATTCAAAATTGCTCAGACTATTTGGGTTTAAGCAGCCAAACCACACCTATTGAAGGCGTGGTTTATAGTTTCGTAACTTAACCTGTATGTGGATATTTGTTTCTATTTTACTAGTAACAGAAACATCAGTTAATATAACTGATCAGTTTCACCAACAAATACCTTTTAAGGTCATGGCTTGTCTCACACATCTTTGTAACTCATCAAGCAAACAAACAGTAACTGTAGCTTTTCAGGAAGTTGTAGTTGTAAAACGCAGACAGATAAACAAAAATTGACCCATGAATCTAAAACCTGAGATGAAAATAAGACTCAAACAGTAGATATTTGTTAATATAACATTTTCATAACACCACTGATATCACAGAACAGCTTAGATTGCATCACATCATTAGTTGTTGTATCATGTACACAAAACTGAAACGTACGTTTTTATGCTAATCTACATATTTGTTACTGAATTACTTAGCTGCTAGTTTAAACACTTGAATCCGCCGTAAGATTATGGGACAGTTAACCTAGCCTTGTATTTGCATACAGGTTCATTTTCAAGGCTATGAGGCATAGGTATTGTGTGACAGTTTCCTACATTATGCGATATCTTATACTTCAGTAAACCAAACGCCCTAGAAGCTCCACTTATTAGACCACAGGCAATATTATTGTACTTTTTAACGATCTTTCTAAACAAAATGAATCCTAAAGTCTAGAGCTTTAGTTTATGATTTGGAAGTAGGAAAAGTATTCATCTTCATTGGCTTTTAGGTCAGATGTGTCGCTTTACGTTTACGCACAGTTAAGTACTAACGCGAAATAAAAAAAGCACATGAATATTTCGATCTCTGTGACATACTCAGTAAAAGAAACGACATGGAATATTGACGAAAAATATAGTACACAACGTAGGAACAAAATATATAGGTATACCAAAAATTCAAAAGATATTTAGATAATTCCCTCATTTAAGCAATCTCTCTTTTATAGGAATAAAAAACTAAAAACGTACACTGATGAACGTTCTTATGTGAATTAGAGATAAAGCGGTCATGTTTATAGCATTAATTTACGAGTTATATCTGCTTTGTGATTTCTTGTGTGATATAGCTAGAAGATTTTAAACGTACGCATCACCATATGTAACAGCTTGATTACTACATTTGCATCATGCGCTAACTTATAAAGAGATTTTTAATTTGCTCATAAGAATGAAAGCACAGAACATAATGATGCAGTTTTAGTTAATTTTGGTTATCGGTTAATATTTTAACAAAACTCGTCTACTCAATCTTCATAAAGCTAAATTAAAAAATTTCATAAATTAACCCTGTGGATTTATTTCGCACCTTCAGGTATATCTCAGCTCCCTATATAGTTTGCACTCCCATTAGAATATGGTCTCTGTGAGGGCACCACAAGTTAAGCAGAACGAATTCACAGGATATTCAAGAAATCTTCTTTAGATGAAAAGTGATACAATTTTATTTCATAATGTTCACTCAATAAAAAATGGCAGCTTTTAAGCTGTAAAAGAAATTGTTTTTCGAACTTTCAGTACACATATCTCACCGGATAACTTTGAATACAAATGATAATGTAATGACGTAATTTTCGATAAAGTAGGCTATTCTGCTTCACAACTCAAAAGAAAGCAGATAAATTCCAAAGTTGTAAAGTTTTGACCGTGTTTTGCAGAGAAAAGATATTTTGTAGCATCTTTAAGTTCTGGAAGAATATTGACCTCGAAAAGCAAAATATAGATAGAAAATCTTCGAAGACGTCTCTGTATAGAAATAAAATTGTTGAAGTAAATAAATGCTTCCGCCAAAATAATCTAGTACAAACCTCTACCCTTGTGGCTTGACCGACATTTACTGATCCATCATAATTATTGACTGGTTGTTTCGCACAGAAAAACTTAAATTATGTACCAGTATTTCAGAACATACATCTAGACCATTTGTCTTTTCAAACCTGTCTGTATCAGCTTCGTACTAAAGTTTTAGTGACCCGTGGATCTGACTCCATTTAGGTCGTACGAATGTTTGTTATCGCCTATTCTCGTATATAATCGTCGACTTAAATCACGTCAGCCAATAACGGAATTAAATAAGTCAAATAACGAGAATTGGATTTTGAATACATATATTTTGTATATGGAGCGAATAGAGAGAAGAGAAACGACGCAGAGTGGAGATAGCTGGTAAGCCAAATCATTTTTAGTCAGGCGTTAATCAATATTTATAGGCAGACAAAAATAAGCTACAGACATGCAATGAGTCATAGGATATGATGTGTACACACATATACGCTCATATAAAAACAGTCAAGGCTAATAAGCGAATAATTAACAAGGTCAAAATATGACTTAAGTAGAATGAATAGAATGGGATGTCCGAAAGCTAGAATAAGATATATGGGCTTAAAATAATTACTGACACTACAAAGTAATTACAGTCATTTATATTGCAATTCTTCATAACCTTTCTCACGTATACTGTCTTTAGTATGACTATTTTATATGTAATTAAATCTTTTACACCGTTTCCATCACGTTTCACACCATCCCAAACCATTTTAGTCAGCACACATTTTACCCGATCGGTCTTCGTAAGTAATACGAGTAACAAAGTTAACACTGACTTTTCAGGATTTGTTTTGGCTATGTTATCAGTCATCTGTTGATTTTCCTCTTACTGTAGTAAAACCGGCCCCTTCTGTAAACTTAATTCAGATTCATATAATAGGTCCGTAAAAGTTTTTTTATTTACCCATCTGAATTATTCTCATAATTGTGGTCAAATCTAGAACTGTAAACACTGATTCCAAATACTGTATTTACTTTGGAATCGATCAAAAAGTGATCTGAGGTCATCCTTGATTTATTATTAGTGGGTCCCCCCTACCAAAAGTTCAATTTCAAATGAAATCTTGAAAATGAAGCAACTAATAAAATCGTCTATCTCACATTACTTTCCGGACTATACATAATTTGCCTCAGTGTCAAGAACGAAGGATATTAAATTACGAGTCTACTGCCCAGTAATTTGTTCCACTTCAAACCATGGCTGTGAAATGTATCCTCTAAGAATATAAAACAACTATAGTTTACAAGCATTTCATCGTGAGTGTCATCAAAGCTATGCTCGTATATTTTTTACCATCGAGTTAATAATTTCGAGGTTGGACACAGGGTACTATATAAAGATAGTGAGTTGACTGACGAGATAATTAAAATCTATCAATTGGGAAGTCTAGGACATGTATGACTATTGCTCATCCACTGACTCCCTTGACGCAAGATGGTAGCTAATGTAGGACAAGGCTGGAAGATCTCGAGTGGTGGTCAAACCATGACAAAGTATCAGCCCACGAAAACATTGACTATCTGACTGACCGACGTGCGTAGTTGAAAAGTGTCTGGTTGTGATCCCCATGACTTTTCTAATCCATAGCTAAATGTTTTGGATGACATGGTCGAAAATCGCACAAACTGGCACAGGTTCACTCACTCTTGTTTTCTTTTGGACTATAATTCTACAAATTTCTTGCAATTTTTACTTCACTAATTTTTATTTTCTTCTTGAATCATATCGTCGATACCGAAACTTCCGCAAACTTTTTTATTATTGCACGATATTTGAATGATTGAGATACGTTCAGACTTATCTATCAGACTTGATGTATCGACAACAGATACAACGATTCTAGATAACATTAAGGCGGAGTGGTTACTGGGAGTTGAAAAAACTTTGGATGCAACCAACCCAGACGAGCAATATTCTAGGTCGTTAATAAAACTCGTCAGGTGTAGTGCCTATCATGGCAACAACGTTGGGCTGTCGATAGACCACTGAACTCTAACACTGGACCAAAGCAATGTTAACATTATGCTTATTCATAACATCTGCAAGCAGACTGAACATATGAATTTATAAACGTTTTACCACGTAAACATATATTTTAAGATTGTAATGAAATAACATAATAGTAGCTATTCTACGAAGTATTTTGAGAATAACGATCTTACGTGAATGAGCTTTCTTGCTGGCTTGAAGTAAGCTACGACGACTGAACATTTCGACAGACATCACGCAGGAGCTTAACAAAACTCATGATGCCAATACCCACTCATTATCAATAATTTCGTCATACTGATACCCTGTTATCTGTATCGGTTGACACACGCCACAGATTTCAAAGAATAACTTGATTGATTTACTCTTTATAGTTAACAAAAACTAATGTGAAATTCTTAGGAAACAAACTTACAGATATAATCAACCCGAATATTTAACAAACGATAAATTATTCCGAAATAAAAAGTTTATTCAGTACACTAATAAACTCCTATGACGGATGTTTATTTTCGGAATCTACTCCGAACATAACAAAGTATAGTGCATTCGGTACATACCATTAAAATGAACATATGTTCCTAACACGGTAATCTATCCACAGCGTTAACTAAAGGTCAACGTTCAAATTGTGATGTCAACATTGTAGGAGTGTCCCAACAAAGTAGAAAAACAAAAACAGTAAGTCCTCCTTACAAGTGTCGATACATTTTTCGCAAAAGTTTGCTCTATTGTCTAATATAGAACAAAGAAATTTCAAAATCACTAATCACCATTGCGAGTGAAAATTCAAGTTATAACTCCTAGTGGTCTACACTACCACAAGTTCATTTACAAGACGTAAAAGTATATCTCTCAATGATTACACTGTGCATAAACTTGGATTTTAATCTTGAAAATTCTTAGATCTTCAACTCAATTGTTCTGATCAATAAACTGTACTATACCTCCGATTCTAGTTTACTATTAGCTGGGAGACACAGTCCCAACTTTCCATTTGGGAATTCTTTACCCTCTAACGCAACCGTTTGCTTGTTTACAAATGAACATAAAATGCCTATGATCACCCTTATTAATTGAAAACCAAACAACTTGTTTTGGACAAATCGTCTTATGTTTAGTCACAACAGGAAAGACTATTAGAGGTTTGCATCAGTGAGCGTAAATTTACCGTATCTTCGTATCTTTACCCCATCGTAGGTCAAAACCCGAAAATTCACATCTAGAGAAGTGGTTTACACACCCTGCCACAAACACTGACCACCTAACTTGAGGCAAAAGAAAGTAATTACTTAGTGCACTTTTAGTGCCTTTAGTAAAACTCCATGAAGGCGCGAAAGCGTTACGCAGTCTGAGGGAAAAGAAAATTAAAACATGGATAGGTTTACTGCAATGGAAATAGCTCTAAATTTGCTAAGGAAATTCAAGTGTCGGATTGTTACTCCTCCCTGTCGGTTAATATATTACGTCAATATTACGCGTATTTGGATTGATGAGTTTCCGGATTTTCATACTTTTAAGAATCCTCAGCTACTTTTGTGCTTTCTCTGTCCATAGCTTAAGCATTTGCTCACTCGACACATATATCGATATGCCAAAAGCCGTGTCCAAGTACCTCAGTGCCTGCCGATGTTGACATAAACGAAGGTGTGCCTCTTTGTCCTACTTAATGTTCCTTTCTGTTACTGCTATCGCTCTCGTAAATCTCCGTTTTTTGCTGTCATTTTGTTTACTGAATAATGGTCAAACTTATATTTTTGAGTTTGTGTGCTACATTTGTTTCTGGTTCACTTAATTCACTACATGGGTGAATGAGACCGACGACCAATAGCCATAAGTTACTCTTCTCCATGTTTCTGATGATCGCAGAATATGGATAAGACAAATGAGACGACATCAGTATCAAAACGCCATGACCACTATATTTATGGTATAACCAGGTGGAAGACGATAAAGTCTCGGAATGAAAAAATTTTGAACAGAAATAAAAACAGAGATGAAGTAATAGGGTAATTATATAGAAGAGCTCAAGTAAACAGAGGCTGCTGTGGCGAGCAAAGTAAACATGAATGCCGAATGTTTGCACTGTTTCTAAATTCGGGAAATTATTTCGGACTACAAATCAGATATCTAGAGAACAGGTAAAAATCATCTAACATTATTCATCATGATGCTATAATGATACCTTATAATATCACTGTGTTATATGAATAATTCATCATATAGGTCGACATCGACTGAACCAGAAATGATGGAAATAAAAAGGTTCGATATTTGCACAGGATTGCGAAAGTGATCCAGTCTGAATAACATCTGGGTAAGTGCGGAAACGTCTGGTAGGGATGAAAATTGAATGTAATGACGTGCACTCAGATAGCTGCATACTTTATACCAACATCTGTAGAATTGTGAAAAATTTGTTTTAACACTCGTTCCAATTACAACAAATCCCAATAAAACATTAGAAATTCATCCTCTCTCCAAATTTTTTGAGGCAACGGAAAGAATTTAGGCTTCTAATGGCGTCAAATATCAACTGTGACATTAGAAATTTCAGTAGATGGATGTGAAAATAAAATATTTCAGCGATGACGAAAAACACATTCCATATGGCACAAAAAAATCTTCGGAGAACCTGGGTCTTTTAATACTGTCGACGCATCTTCGTAATGGTGGGTGACCCAGGCCTGGGGTGATAGTGAGAGACATGCCAACAGCTTTTTAACTCATGAAATATGATATAGTGCATAAAAATGTGACTAACCTTCCTCAAAGCAAAATCCCTCAAACTTCGTTGATTTTTCAGACCAACACTTTTCAAATTCATCGATTGTTCACCACAATATCTTGAGCATTGGATTCGCCCTCCATGCCGTGGAGTCCAGTCATTTATTCTCATTATTTAATATTTTCATTGTCACCATTTCTTAGATACAGTTCTTTTCTTTTGCAGCCTTTTATAATTTTTTCTTGTCCTGTAAGGCCTATAGCCTAAACAGAATAAAATATTAGTTCCATAAACTGGTTGAATAAAGTTCCTTATTCACCTAATGTTGAGATTTGTAGTTTTTCGGTTGATCGGAGGCTCTTGGCTAGCGCTTATATCTACCATTACATATTGGGAAAAGCAAGCAACTGTTCAAAAGTAAGCTTGTCAAACAATAACCAACAACAAATATTTGTCAAAAATTGTCTTACGGAATCAGAACAAGAATTGTCATCATCACAATTCCGACGTTATTGAGTGTAAAGTACAATA